AAAAATCATATCTAGATTTTCGTAACGTCAATTGGAAAAGTTTTAAAACTCTATTGAATTCAAAAATAATTATTTCCTCACTCCTTAACGAGAATATATCTGTCACAAACATTGAAGAATCGATAAAAGAATTTACGGACACTTTAAAAACCACATGCCTCGACACAATTCCCCTTAGACACAAGAAAAATAAAAACAACAAATTAAATGAATTATGTAAATATCTGATATCCACAAGAAACAAACATAAAAGAAGATTCCAACGCTGTGTAAATCCAATCGACAAAACGTCAATAGGTGCTATCCTTAGGGAGCTAAATAAACTCATTTCCATCAATATAAATAATGAAAGAAATGCACAATGGTCAAATTTTCTGTCTACTTTACCCACAGGCAGTAAAAAATTTGGGAAAATTACAAAAAAGATGAAAGGAATTAACAACTCAATGAAAAATTTAGTGGTAAATGGCAAAGAAGTTTATTCTAACGAAGAGAAGGCCAATTTAATCGCCGACCACTTCGAAAAAGCGCATTTAATTACGTCAAACTCATCAACATCCATTGAAAACAAGGTCAATCATATTTATAGTCTCTTGGAATCAGACACTTCATCAAATAGCAATGATCAGCCTTTCACATCTCTAAACGAAATAAAGAATCTGATTGTATCCCTTAAATACTCAAAAGCACCTGGAATAGATCAAATTAACAATATGGTGTTAAAAAATATACCTGTTTCTGCCCTAAATTATTTATTAAGAGTATACAACTTTTGCATAATCAATTCATACTTTCCGAGTGCTTTTAAATTGGCCAAAGTTATACCGATCCCAAAAAAGGGCAAAGATGACAGACTTCCTTCCAATTACAGACCAATTAGCCTATTAAGTTCCATAGGTAAAATTTTTGAGAAAATAATTTTTCGCCGATTACAAACTTTTGTAGAAGACAACAATTTGATCCATAGGCATCAATTTGGTTTCAGACCTCAACATTCTACCACTCACCAAATCAAGAGATTAGTCAATATTATAACATCGAATAAAAACCGACGGTTTTCTACTGGTATTATTTTCCTTGATGTCGAAAAAGCCTTTGACTCTATTTGGCACAAAGGCCTAATTTTTAAACTTCATAAAATGGATATTCCCTTATATCTGATAAAATTAATTAAAAGTTTTCTTAGTGAAAGAATGTTTGTTGTCGATGGGTGTCCCTCAGGGTTCAGTACTTTCACCTCTGCTGTATTCGCTGTACATCTCCGATTTCAAAACTTCCAAAATCAACGAAGTAGCTTTTTATGCAGATGACAGCGCTATCATCTGCCAAGGAAAACTTTCAAACACAATCGTGAAAAGAATTCAGAAAGCTTCTGCACTAGCCTCTAAATATTTTTCTAAATGGAAAATAAAAATCAATAAAGAAAAATCTCAAGCCATTATATTTCCTTACAATAAGTCGCCCAAAAGAATCCCTTCTATAAAACTTAAGGTAAATGGTAAGGAACTATTTTTTTCAAAATCCGTTAAATATTTAGGCGTTATTCTAGATGAAAAGTAACCTTTAAAGAACATATAGAAGACGCATGTCATAAGGCTATAAGATGTGGCAGATCTTTATATCCCATACTAAATAAAAAATCAAAATTAAATTTAAAAAATAAACTACTATTATACAAAATGTGTCTAAGGCCTATTCTAACGTATGGCTGCCAAATTTGGTATAACTGCGCCAAATCGCATCTGAAAAAATTACAAATTATACAAAATAAGAATCTGAAGATAATTTACAATCTTCCAAGACGGTATCCTACAATTCAACTTCACACTAGGGCTCAGATTATAATGATCAATAATATTATAAAGGACATGGCGCTGTCATTTGAAGAAAAATGCAGAAGGTCAACATATGCCCACCTGAGAGGTTTGATTTGATAACACCTAATATTATATATTATCAAGTATAGCTATGATTAGATGTTATCTTAAAGCTTTTCATTAACTATTTGTGATATTAAATTGTAGGTTTTTTACTATCTTTTTCCTATTAAATAGAACTTTTTAAAATGTATTTAGTTATTACAAGTATGTTAAAATTTGTTGAAATATCTTTAAGGTAGAAACTCAAAATATTGTGTATAAAACCAATGTACCTTTGATAGAAAATAAATAAATAAAATAAATTTAAAAACCATGTTCGCTACGTGAACAGGACCTATATCTACATCTGAACCGATTTTCACGAAACTTAGCACACGTCATTCTAGACTTAATTCAGTACGCTGTACCAAATCGAATGATTTTCAGGGACTTTGGTGCACCATTAACCTAAAATCGGGCGAAACTATATATGGGAGCTATATCTAAATCTGAACCAAGGAAAGGAACCATGGGTCTATCTCGATTCCTTTTGCCTGTTACAAACATATGCACAAAGACATAATACCCTGTACCACAGTGTGGTAAAGGGTATAAAATTATTATTTTGGAAATATATTATCATGTTCATTGTATTGCAATCAATTGTATGCAATAATTTTATATTATCACACTACATCTCTCAAGTGCAGTATATCTAAGTATTCTGATTTAAAAAATATAAAATTGAAAATACTTCCAACGAATCGAAGAGAAAATTTAATGTTTTAATAACCTGACCACCACTATATATATTTTCGTCCGATTTTAGGTTAATGGTCCACCAAACTCCTAATGTTTTTCCGATTGTCACGAAATTTTGCACAACGTATCGAATTGATACTAGAATGGCGTTATTGCATTTTGTTGAAATTTGTGCAAAGCTTCCATATATATTTCGAACGGCTGTCTGATTGAGATTAAATTTTGAACAGAGCGGCATATAGAAAAGGGTGTATCATGTTTGCTTTAAATCGTTTTACATAAATGTATCCCATTGCACTCAAATGAAATGAAATTTAGCATAGGTTGTAGAAAGGCATGTGAATGGATTGATTTTAGTCGTTTCACTAATAGATAAAGATAACATATTTATGTCAATGTTTCGTCGAAAATGCGACGTCTGCTAGAATTTTTAAACCAGGAATAGGTGGGTCCACTTAATAAAAATAATCCACCTCAATATTTTACACTAATTTCGTACACATCCGGAAACCATATGCTGAGGGTATATATATGTCGGGAACATTATCAGACACTTTTTATTTAATTAGTTCTCGATATGGTATGTAAATTAAAATGAAGTGAATTAAATTAGACTAAATTTTATTAGACTATAAAAATACTCCAGTTTTATTTATAAAAATGTTTTTAATAATTTTAAATTAAATTAGTTTTTCTTAACTTTCGACTTTTTTGTTTCCTTCGAACTACCACCTACAATTTTCTTAACAAGGCCAATAACTTTCACAATCACTAACACAACAACAAAAATACAACTTGTTAACAATAGATAAACATCAATATTATGATATTGCATATATGTCAAATCTTGTCCCGCATTGCGAATGTGAGGAGCTCCTTCATGCCTTAGAACATACTCCACCCAATAAATTGCAGTTTCCAGAGGCGTTAATGGTTGATCCCGGTAACGTTTTGATAATTTCCGCACAGCATTTGTATATTTAGGATTTGACCACAACTCTTCAATTTTGCCTTTAAATTCCTCCTTTGTTAAAGTTTTCAAATCAATACTGAGAGCAAAACCAGCTTTGACAGAGTTTTTAACATTCATAAATTGATCACCCAAAACAGGTATACCCAAAATGGGTTTACCATGGAAAATGGTTTCGGTGGTACTCAAGTAGCCACCATGGGAGATGAAAAGTTTAACATTTGGATGAGCCAATACGGAGGGTTGATTAAACCATTTGCGTATGAGGACATTGTCGGGTTTATTTGGCAACTCTTCCAATTCGAATTTCCATAGTACCTTGATTTTCAGCTCTTCAAAGGTGGACATTATGGCCTTAAGGGTTTGTGGAGGTAAATCTTTACTCTTGACATTGGAGCCCATGGAAAAGTAAATTACACCTTCGGGTGAGTTATCCAAAAACTTTTGTAAATCTTCGGATAAGGGGTCGGGTTTTTGCTTGATATGTAAACCTCCCACCTCAATCATATTGGGTACATAGGGTCGTGGTGCCCTCAATGTAAAGTGATCATTCAATAACACCAATGAGACATTTCTGCGAGCCTCATCCAGGCTCAGTTTGGCATTGGGGAAATATTTCCTATAGACTTGTTCTTGACCGGGTAGAATTAGATAATTGAAGCAAACCTCATCCACAAGATATGAGAGGACATTCACCGTCCGTTCCCACAACGACATGTGGTTGCCATAATCCAAACTCATGTGTGGTATATATGAGGGTGGTGAGGGATTTGCCGTTAAATAGTCGATGAAATTAATTGTTCCAAAGGTGGAGACTCCAATCATGGGTGCCTGGAAATATTCGCCTAAACCCAATAACGATTCCGTGCTTAAAACCTCAATGATGATCAAATCGAATTTTTCATTTTTCAGAAGATGTTTTACTTCAGAGTTTTCCAGAACATTGCTGCTGACCATAACACCCAGGCTGCTGAGTTCCACAAATTCTTCGAAGAATGACTTCTTGGTGGTTTCGGTTGTCATTTCCGTTATCATTTCTAAAGCAAAAAAAAAATTAAATTAAATCAGAATTTCCAAATTGTAGGAATATGACCTTACCATCAAACACCTTGCTATTTTCCATGACCGGAACATCACGGAAATTCTTCAACTTTTCCTTTTGGGGAAACGTCGAAATGGAAGTGACTTCATGGCCCTTTTCCGCCAATGCCTTCAGTAGCGGCGAAATAAAAATATATTGTGATGGTCCCGAATAGGGGAACACCGATAGAATTTTAGCACCATGTGTGGGCTGCAGCAACATGCCACAGCTCACAAATAGAGCACAAATCACAAATAAGCGCGTACCCATTTTGGTGATGTATTTCGTTTGCCGGTCAGTGGGTTACTGTTTGAATTTCTAAACACTAGACTTATCGCACTTTCAAGCGCCTTTATCAGAACAATGCTTCGCACTTTAATTCAATTGATAATCAAGAGCACTTATCACCCCGCTTCAGTGTTTATCTTCAAGCGATAAAGCTGGTAACTATCGTCTGATTGCACAATTTCAAGTTCAGTATCATTGTACGCACACTTATCATCGAACAGGTGTAGTATCTGGGAATATACGATTGCTTATTTATGTAGGTCATTAGTTAATAAAGTTAACGAACGACGTTGTGAACATTTCTGGAATAATTTCCGTCTAGACATTGTTCACCCCACATGGAGATGATGAAATGTCCAAAATATTAGCGACATGCAATTTTGTGGTAATTTTTGGATAAATATTAGGTGGGGTTTACTATATTTATACGCCGTCATTGTGCATATGTTTGTAACAGGCAAAAATAATCCAGATAGACCCATGGTTCCCTTTGAGAATATGCATAGAATCACTTTCTGAGTCGATTTATGCATGTCCGTCTGTCCATGTTAAATTATAAACAAAGTACAGGTCGCATTTATGATCCGATTTGGATGAAATTTGACATAGGTCACTTATTTGGCACAAGCACGAACCCTATTGAAATTCGGAAAAATCGGTCCAGATTTAGATATAGCTCCCATATACATTTTCGTCCGATTGAATGTATATGGTGTACCAAAGTCCCGATATATCTTTCAATTTGCCCGAAATTTGGCATAGCGTAAGGAATTAGGTATAGAATGATGTGTGTTATGTTTCCGGAAAATCGGTCTATATTTCGATATAGCTCCCATATATATTTTCGTCCGATTTAAGGTAAATGGTGTACCAAAGTCCCTATATATCTTTCCATTTGCACGAAATTTAGCATATTATACTGAATTGAGTTTAGAATGACGTGTGTCACGTTTCGAGAAAATCGGGTCAGATTTAGATATAGCTCCCATATATAGTTTTGCCCGATTTTAGGCAAAGAATTTTGGCATAGCGTACTGAACTAAGTCTAGAATGACGTGTGCAAAGTTTCGTAAAAATCGGCTCAGATAAAGATATAGCTCCCATATATAGGTTCGCCCGATTTTAGGTAAATGGCGCACCAAAGTCCCTGAAAATCATTTGATTTGCAAGAATTTTGGCATAGCGTACTTAATTAAGACTAGAATGACGTGTGCAAAGTTTCGTAAAAATCGGTTCAGATTTAGATATAGCTCTCATACATAGTTTCGCCCGATTTTAGATAAATGGTGCACCAAAGTCCCTGAGAATCTTCTAATTTGCACGAATTTTGGCATTTCGTACTAAATTATGTCTAGAATAACGTGTGCAAAGTTTCGTGAAAATCGGTTCAGATTTAGATATAGCTGCCATATATATTTTCGACCGATGTTATGTAAATGGTGCACTAAAGTCCCTATATATCTTTCGATTTGCACGAAATTTGGCATAGTGTACTGAATTGCGTCTATAATAATGTGTGCTAAGTTTCATGAAAATCGGTTCAGATTTAGATATAGCTCCCATATATATTTTCGTCCGATTTTAAGTAAATGGTGCACTAAAAATCCATAGCTAGGCCGATTGACACAACCTACTGACGTTAATATAAATTAATCTCTGGCAAGTTTCCTTGAAATCGGTTCAGATGTAGTAATAGCATAGCTTCCATATATAATTTCTACCTATTCATGTTAAGTGTACACCAAGTAATCAATGGATGTCTGATTGAAGTTAAATGTTTGCTTTAAGGGGAGTTATCATGCCCGCCATCAAAAATAAGGTCTTTTCTTGAATTACAAAAAACAACAACAAAACAATAACAACAATTTTTTGTAAATTATTTTTCTTCTCTTTTAAATCTTCAAATATATATGTGCAAAGTTACAAACCTTAACAAGCATTGGTATTGATTTACCAGCCCATTGAAAATCTTGAACAATTAAATGGGGGGGTTCCCTTAAGGGAACCCCCCCATTCTCGATTTTTTATTTTTAAGATTTTAAATGGGCTGGTAAATGAATACCAATGCTTGTAAAGGTTTGTAACTTGGCACATATATATTTGAAGATTTAAAAAGGAAGAAAAATAATTTACAAAAATTTGTTGTTGTTGTTTTTTGGGTTCAAAGAAAAGTCCATATTTTCGATGGTGGGCATGATAACTCCTCACTGGAACATCGGAATCCGAAAATTCCAACTGTGTTAGAAAGAGGACATGTCTGGCTCTCGTATGAACTAGGATTATTGACTTCGCACAACAATTAACAAAATGGCGAAACTTTGAAATTTTTTTTTGGAAAATCGCCTATTTTTTACCACAAACTAGTTAAAAAATAAGGAATATCTTCACCGATTGGCTTTATCCTAGTTCACACGAGAGCTACATACTCCCAGAGAAACGTGTCAAAATTTGAAACCGATTGGATTATTAGTTTTTGAGTTATCGTGCCTGCCATTCGTTTTGAGAAAAACGCGTTTAAAGTTTCAAAAGCCCGTTAGCCGTCACTTGATGCTGACACAATAAATCGGCTATATCTTCAAGAGTTCTTGAGATTTTCACTTGAAATTTTGTAGAAACATTCTAGAATTATAGTAAATACGAATTAAATCAAAAAAATTTTTGACACCGAGAATGGGGGGTCCCCTTAAATAGACTTACAAAATTTAGCATAGGTTACAGAAATACATGTGCAAAGATTGATGTTAGTCGGTTTAGATATAGATAAAGATCACATATTTAAGATCCCTCAATTTCATGTCAATGTTCCTTCAAAAAGTCGACATCTGTTAAGATACATATGTAGTATATACCCACAGTGGCCCAAGTTTTCAAGAACAAATAGTTTACTGATAAGTATTTTGTGTTTGAGATTAGGCTAAGAAAGAGTTGTTTAATTAGAACCTAAGAATAAATATTTCAAAATAAAATTAGTGCCTAAAAACCACTCATATAGAACGGTCGGGAGAACCGTGTCTCAATAATTGCGTGTACAGAGGAGTGCTTTACAACCACTCACAAGGAACGGTCGGGGTCACCGTGTCGTGTCATAATTTATTATACAGGCGAGCTGCGGCTGTCTGTGTATATTTTTAATAGGCCCCATATAACCGTACCTCCCGATTTAAGGTATTTTTTGTCTATAAGACACATTTTACAATCAAATTGTCTGTAATTTGGCACAGGGTGTTCTCTATGGGTACCGAATATCCATGCAAAGAATTATACACGATCCTGATTTGGGGTATTTATATATATTTATAAATTCTTTAGAAGCCGAACAACTTGACATGCTTATTTTGTACAAAAAGAGATCTCACTAGGCCAATTTATAACCAATTTAAATGTAAAATGTGTATAATTGACAAAAAATACCTTAAATCGGGAGGTGTGTTATATGGGGGCTTTATCAAAACATGGACCCAGAGACCGATATCAGTAGTTGTATTGATATAAACACCAAATGTTGGCAACTAACATCAAGTGGTTCGTCAGTTAATAAGTTTATAACCAATTTTTGGGTAAATACTCAAATTGTACCTTTGTATGAGGGCAGAAAACCTGAACCTACATCTATAAATTTTTGCATGGATATTTGGTACCCATAGAGAACTTTCTATGCAAATTCCAACCAATATGATCGTAAAATGTGTCTAACAGATAAAAAAAAAACAGTAAGCAAAGTAGTAAAGTCGGGCTGGGCCGACTATATGATACCCTTCACCACTTTGGGTATATTCTAAATATGTATCCCAACAGACGTAGGGTGTTTGTTACATATCTATATCTGAAACGATTTCAGGAAACTTGCCAGAGACTAATTTATATTTCTGCAGTGCGTTGTGTCAATCGGACTAGCAACATCATTCTAGACTTATTTCAGTACCATGTACCAAAATTCGTGCAAATCGAAAGATATATAGGGACTTTTGTGCACCAATTCCATAAAATCGGACGAAAATATATATGGGAGCTACATCTAAATCCGAATCGATTTTCACGAAACTTAGCACACGTTATTCTAGACTTAATTCATTATGCTATGCCAAATTTCGTGCACCTCACAAGATATATAGGGACTTTGGTACACCATTTACCTTAAATCGGACGAAGCTATATATGGGAGCTATATCTAAATCTGAACCGATTTTCACGAAAATTTGCACACATCATTCTAGGCTAAAATCAGTACGCTATGCCAAATTTCGTGCAAATCGAATGATACATAAGGACTTTGTTACACCATTTACCTTAAATCGGACGAAAATATATATGGGAGCTATATCTACATCTGAACCGATTTTCACGAAACTTTACGTACGTCATTCTAGGGCTACATCAGTACGATATGCCAAATTTCGTGCAAATCGAAAGATATTTAGGGACTTTGGGGAACAATTTATCTAAAATCGGACGAAAATATATGTGGGAGTTATATCTAAATCTGAACCGATTTTTTCAATTTCAATAGGGTTCGTCCTTGGACCAAATAAGTGACCTATGGCAAATTTCATCCAATTCGGATGATAAATGCGACCTGTACTTTGTTTACAATTTAACAACTACAGACGGACGGTGGACGGACATGCATAAATCGGCTCAGAAAGTGATTCTATGCATATTCTCAAAAGGAACCATGGGTCTATCTCGTTTCCTTTTGCCTGTTACAAACACATG